TGGGACCACATGTCATTTTTAGACTGGGGTGCCTCGAGATTTTGCAGCTTTACCCGCACAGCATCGCTGCTGCTCCCTGCCTACAAACATACCCAGGAGGGAGAAAAATTGGACCAGAGTAGTCACCTGATCATGCCCACAGCAGCTTGAACTGCATAGACTTCTAGGATGGGTAGTCCATGCGTCGCTGCTGCTCCCTGCCCACCAACATAGCACAGGAGGGAGAAAAAAATGGGATCAGAGTAGTCACCTGATCATGCCCACAGCAGCTTGAACTGCATAGACTCCTGGGACGTGCAGTCCCTGCGTCGCTGCTGCTCCCTGCTCATTAACATACCACAGGAGTGAGAAAAATTGAACCAGAGTGGTAACCCGATCATGCCCAGAGCAGCTTAAACCGCATAGACTAATAGGACAGGTAGTCCCTACATCTCCGCTGCTCCCTGCCCACCGCCATACCACAAGAAGGAGAAGAATGGGACAAGGGTGGTAACGTAATCATTACATTTTATTCCTAAAAAAAAAAAAAGAATGATTTCAGATAAAGAGTATTATCCAGAGGGGAGGGGATTGGGGGAAAAGATTACTATGTTGCCTGGAGTTCTGCTTTAAGCTTTGCATTGTCTTGTGCTGTTCTCCTCTAATCTTCCCATTGTGCTTTGCTGCATCCTCCAGTGGGGGGGGGGGGGATAATAAGCCAACAGCCACAATCATAAAAGACGAGGATTTAGAAACGTCATGTCTGTATTTTCCTGTAATCCCACTGCAGCACCCAGATCTCACCGACACAGTCACCGTTCCAAAACCACAGAACCCCCCACTGAAGCTGAGAAGAGGATGGATGCCGTAGATGGAGGAGAAAAAACGGGTTTAGGCCGTGTACAGCCAGGGAGGGCTTCTGCCCAGATTTAGGTATATCTCAAACACGGGCTGTCACTTTATCTGCTGAAGATCATTTTCAAGCTGACCATACATTATACAGTACATATTATAGTACAGTGTATGGTCACTTTTAGAAAGGACCCTGCCTCCAGACCAATTATGCTAACAAAAATCTTCCGATCACATGATGTTATTTACCTGTAAAATCCTCACTTGTGTAGACATCTAAAAGCCCGGAGACTGCTCCTGGGTGCCGCCATTTTGGATGCAACGTCAGCAGCCCCAGCAGACTTCGAGCCGTCACTCAAATGACCCCGTGACAGGGGTGGGCAAACTCCGGCCCTCCATCATGCACCTGTCTTTGGGAGTCATGCCCGTGGCCATGAGACTCTTGCAATGCTCATGGTACTTGTAGTTCCACAACAGCTGGAGAACTGGAGTTTGCTCACCTCTGGTCTGTGGTATTCCCAATTGCTCTTTCCCCATCAGTAGGTAAATTGGCTTTCCTCTAAATTGTCCCTGTATGTGCATGTACGCAGGTGAGATAGGGACCTTAGATTGTAAGCTCCTTGGGAGAAGGGACAGATCTGACAGACTGTACAATATGTAAAGCCATACACAGGGGCGTCCCGAGGCTGGGTGTCACCTAGCTGTGTCGTCAGCACACATGCGCGGCCATCTGATTGACGCCTGCCGGCAGCCATTTTGGTGATGGACGCCGGCAGAGAGAGGAGGGGGACGTTCACCAGGCGGGATGAGGTATGCCACCGGGTCCCCTCCTCTCTCCTGACACTGTCGGGCTCTCTGTCCATGACCGAGTGCCCGACTTTTTAGAGGTGGTGACACCAAAATGACGGTCAGTCTTTCTGGTGTCACCCCTGCAATGGTGTCACCCAGGTGCGGGTCGCACCCCCCTTGTGACGGCACTGGCCATACATAAACTGACATCACTATATAAATCCCTGGAATAAATATATACAGCTATTTACTATATATCCTTCCAGAGGCTCCACGTCAGCTGTCATCACAGTACGGCTCCCTCGTTTTTTGGAACTGACAGTCTGAGTAAGGTGTGGAATCTGCAGTGAGATTAAAAGGGAAAAAGACTGACGTGATGCTTTTAAGTCTTCCCTCGTTTTGAGATTCCTTCTGTCAGCTTATTATCCTGCGGGGATGCCATGGGAAGGTTTGTGGAGAAGAAGACCACGGCAAGCCTAAAATACCAGCACCGTAAGGATCAGGATTACTCATTACACTGCCGGCTTAAAAGGAACACGCTAAACGAGTTCTGATTCATCATGCAACAAAAGTGTCTGCTAGCAACAGGCGCAATGATGGAAGAAAGGAGGTATTGAACGGTCCCCTCAAAACAGTCATCTTGGCTCTCAAACCACAAGGGCACAAGTCCCAGCATGCTCTGCTACCCAGACCAACCTGTTCTGGACAGCCAATGCAGTTGCCTGTACACCGTACACTGCACTTCACAGTCTGTAATTATAATGTTCGCAAATGGCGAGTGCTCATTGGCCAGAGCAGCCACATGAGGATCTTTTCTGAGCCGGGGACCAGGTCCCGGAAGTATAAAGTGCTTCTTATTGGCAAGTGTGGCCACATGACCATGCTGACCAATTAGCACACTTCCTGTCCTAGGCAAATAGAGTCCCACCGCACTCCTGACCGAGAAGCCCCATATATTGTGGGGCGGTGCTGAAGTGGCCGCCCAATACTTACAAAAAAGAATAGATGGTCACCAGCTCTCCCAAATGTGCTGGCGACCATCTATTTCTATTCTTCCTGTCCTAGGGTGACAAGAACTCACTCATTGTACTGTATGTATGAAGGTGCAGTGTTGTCACCCTACTTACAAGGCTTTTAAAGCATAGGAATTAAATTGAACCATTAGGGATGGGCACCACACCCCCAATTAGAATTGTATACAAGAAAAGAAAAGCGGGGCTTTAAAAGTGTCCAAACCATACAAGACGTCCATCAAACATACATGGTTTTGTATAAACGTATATTTAATACATACATAAAGACTTGGTTACAATTAAAATGTCATTGACATGATACAATGTTACATTGAAATCAAACTACCTCCTTTTGGTGCCCATACATGTGTACATATATATATATATATAATTCATTAGTATAACATGGACTCCTTGAGTCCTGATTTCTGTAATAGTTGTATGATCCACTGTGGGCCCCATCTCCGACGCGTTTCAATGTACACATGTATGGGCACCAAAAGGAGGTAGTTTGATTTCAATGTAACATTGTATCATGTCAATGACATTTTAAATTGTAACCAAGTCTTTATGCTACTTACAAGGCTACAGAACACCCTCTCCTCTTCAACACAACATGGAGAGATGTTCTGTAGTGCTCAGAGCAAACTGGGAACAATGTAACCGATATGAATGCAACAGAAGCATAGAGCACAGGAAGTTATCTACTCAAACGATTTCTGGGAGGATCACCAGGGTTTTTTTTGTTGTTGTTAGTCCTGGCTATAAAGAAAGAAGATAATCTATACTAAAAACACTATGTGTCCCTTGCTGAAGGAAATAATGCTCCTTGCCCCCTTTCTGAGCATTCTAATTATCGGTTATTCTGATCTGCTGGCTTTACTACTTTCAGAGATCTAGAACGAGAATGCCGATACAGTGACGTCCCCCCGCTCCTACTTGTTCTGGGTCATGGACTCGCACATTCAATGCATCACCGGCCAGCATAACAGCCAGCAATGGCAGCCTCCATATTTCTCCCAGTATGGGTTTCCTTTCCAAATACACTCATCATCTTACCTTCACCATCTCTTCTAGTCTTCCCAGACGTACGCTGCCCTCCATCATCTTAGATAACACTCCATGTTTTTCCGCTTCCAAGCCTTTAGCCTAAAACAAAGTATGATCATGATGAGGAGGCCATGTTGAGAAGGAATGCCAAAAGGGACACTCATGACATCTGGACATGGTATAGGAGGAACATTCACTGTAAATAAAACATATCGCTAGTGGCAACATCTGATTTTCTAATGCCTGCAATGGAACTGTATGAAATATGGTTGCTGTGGAAGAAAGTTCTCTCAGATTGTTTCCAGTGATGTAACAATAGCAACCCATGTGGCTGCTGCTATGGGGCCTGGGATAGGACGGGGGCCCCATTAGTGAGGCTGTTAAGGAAAGCTAAATGGGGAAGCTTCCGGTTGCTGTCAGTTCTCAAGATTGTCGGTGCAGTAAAAAGCATTTGCAGTTGAAGCTCAGAGGGCAGTGAAGCTTCACTGCCACAACAGGTATGCCTACTGCCGACCATACTCTGCTCGAGCTTTGTCCCAGTCTTGCTGACCCGTCTAAAGTTCGAGCAGTGTGTGGGGCGCAGCGGTACCCCTCCGTTGAAAGTGGATTGTACAAAAGGTTATATGGTCATATTCAGGGGTGTCCTGAGGGTAGGGGATGAGGATGTATGTTACCAGACACATTGGGGGTTGTGGTGCAGGTGGTGTACATTACCTCTGGCTCCGGTTAGCGTCCCACCAAGCTCACGGACGTCAATGATTGCCAGGAGCTGGGCGGGATGCCAGCCAGGGTGTCCCATGTAGCGTCAGATTTTAACGTGGTTGCCCTTAGGCTCACCATACATGTTACTATCTGAATGTACAATCTCCTATACAGCTACCAACAAGCATGTAGTGCAAGAATCTGCCTGAAAGGATACAAATTGATTGGATAGCATCGGTAGGTCCCTACATTACACACCTTTTGTAAATTGAAAGTTGGTTTTACAGACATTGTAGGGTCAGTGCATGGGGAGCCATAGGGTTAAAGACTAATTATGTGCAAGAGCATTAAACTTGTCCTGATAGAAATCATCATTAGGGTAACTATTATTGCTACTCCAGCTCTAACTTTTATCCGAAGCACTCGTCTCTGGTACTCCGACTATGCTGACAGCTCTCCCACTGCCTTTCCTTGATGGAGACATACTTCATGTTATGATCAATGACCAGTATTGTCACAGATGACACTGCCAGCTGCTACAGAGAGAGTTAGCCGGAGGGCCCTATCAAAATGTTACTATGGGACCCACATGATTCCAAGAGAGATCCTTTAAAAATTCCTCTTCTGAAACCCTTTCTTCTGACAGTCTCCTGATAGGGTTTTATTTCAGCAAGTTTAGAAAAACGAAGATAAAAAAAAAGTCTGTGACTGTCCGCCTAGGCGCAAAACCTTCACCTTAAAGGACTTCTCCGTCACACATGGATGACTCGGAAATTGCACCGCGGCATTAAGAGACAAACAAGCTTTGATGTTCCAGAGGAAGTGCCGGAGTATCTGGAATGCTACAGAGAGGAGTAAATAATTCATTCACTAAGAAATGTAATTGTAGGGTGACCGGCGGGCTTTCTGTACATAACCCGGTGGAGGTGACAAATAGCTGAAGAGTCCAGGAGTTTATGCTGTTTGTATATTATGTATCTGAGAAAATATCTAAAGTGAATTTCCTCTTTTGCAGCCAAATTCTTCCATCTGACCTCCGTCCTTCCCTTCAGTCTTCTATCTGACCTCCGTCCTTCCCTTCAGTCTTCCATCTGACCTCTGTCTTTGCCTTCAGTCTTATATCTGACCTCCGTCCTTCCCTTCAGTCTTATATCTGACCTCCGTCCTTCCCTTCAGTCTTCTATCTGACCTCCGTCCCTCCCTTCAGTCTTATATCTGACCTCCGTCCCTCCCTTCAGTCTCGCACAGTTGTACCGGCTCCTCTCCTGGACTGAAATGGCTTCCTCCGATTTCACTGCACACTGGGAGCTTCTCATAATGTACATTAGCAGCTGCAGCAAGTCAGATAGAGCCCGCCTCATTTCCTGGCTGGATGTCCAGCATCATCTATCCATTTTCTTCCCAGCCAGACTGTCCCATGTCCGGACGCTTAAATTATTGAAATTCAGTTCTTTCCGTTATAGACGTTCAGAATCGCATGTGGGCATTACCTAGGGAAGACTGAATGCAAATGCAGCCTGCGTAGAAATGTCTGATCCTCCATACTGACACTCACCCATCAAGGCATTTTGATATTTGCACAACTCCTCCCAAGAGCCAGCCCACTGCTTACATCAGTGCTCCTGAGAGGTGTACGGAGGCAGGGTGCTGTGACGTTTTCAGGAATCTGTGTACAGCACCCTGCTAGCCCCTTCCACCAGCCATGATCTGCCTGCATTGCACAGAGACCCAGTGATGGCATCATCAGGACTAAAATAAGGTATGTCATTTATTAACTTCATTAGCATGCTAATGAAGGAGTAGGAGGAGGAACCAGGGAAGGCAAAATAGAAGCAGCTTTAAACTTCAGCTTCAATCAGACTTGTAGGTAAACACTTTTCTAGAAATCCTCCATGATGACACATGATATTTTATAGTTATTTTATTACAGATATTTATAAAGCGCAGACAATTTACACCGCACTTTACATACTGTACATAGACATCAGTCCCTGCCCTTAAGGAGCATACACTCGAAGGTCCCCATTACAGACGCATACATTACACTTGCACACATACATACACAGGGCCAATTTTTAGACGGCAGCCAATTATCCTACCAGCATGTCTTCAAAGTGTGGGAGGAAACCCATGTAAGCACATGGAGAACATGCAAACTTTATTCCAATAGTTTGCTAGCCAGGATTTTAACTAGAACCCCAGTGCTGCTTGAAGTGCTAACTACTAAGGCCCCATTCACACAGAGCGATTTATCGCGCGGTAAACCGTGCAAATCGCGTGACAAACGCGCGATTTGCGAATCACTCAGTGTGAATGGGGCCTAAGGGCTCATTCACACTGCACATAAGTACGGGTGTGGGTGTCCCGGCTCGGATCCATCCCGTCAGCGTACGAGTGCGGACACCCACACGGACGTGCAGGGCGGGTGAGCGTACGGCCGCATACTCCCATAGAGAAGGACAGAGGCTGCGTACTAATCACACACAGCAACGATCCTTCCCGGGAGCTGCCTGATACGGCCGTGCACACAGCACGGAGCTGTACGTGCAGGCCTTTTTTCGTGTGATTGAGGCCTAAGCCAGTGTGCTACAGAGATGAGTAACATAATACAAATAGGAAGAAAAAAAAAAAGAAGGAGAGTTAAACAGCTCTGCCCGACCAAACCGCCTCTGCGACGAAATTGTATGCCGCCATACGCCGTTCTTGAAGATCAAGGAACAGGTACAGCCAAGTAGCTCAAGAATACAGGAAGCTTATTTACCAGGATGTCCTTATGGAATAGACCAAGCTTAGACCAATTGGTCTACCCTTCCATGGTTTACTGCAGGAACATCAAGGTTCATCTGGGCCCCCTGGACATACACCTGCCCTAAGCTACAGCCTAGACTGCCTTATGGATAAACTGACTCAGCTCTCAACCCATGACAATTCGCCACTTGCAACGCCAAAAAGTATTTGAGCTGTCAATAAAGATGATTTGATTATGAACCAGAGAGACCCACAGAGAAGAAGAGGGAAAAAAAAATAACACAAGATAAAACATAAAAAGAGAAAACTAATGCAGAGTGAAATAAAAGAAGATTTAGAGGAAGAAAGATTCCATTTTCATTCCATCCATCTGGCCCAGATGAGGACACGGTAAGAAAGTGTCTCGTCTCATCATACAAGGCAGGCGAGGTTTAGTGCGACTCTCCAGTCAGCAAGATTCCCACAGGGAACATGTTTTAGCTTCTAGGTAACCTTAAAATAGATGTGAAGGCAGAGCCATCAGAGAAGATCAGGCTCTGCGAGCGGAATGTCACGGGGACGGCTGCCGCTCAGGGCAGGTAGTTGCTGCCTTCCATCTGTGATGTCACTATCTATTAAAGATGTTCAACTCTCCAATTTACCAAGGATACAGGCCACGCCGGGCCTCTTCCGGCTCCACAAACATAATGAATGCGAGAACGGAGCCACACAATGGACCTGCACACCTACCGGTATTAAAACAAGAGAATGGCCCAGAAGCATTCCTGATGGACAAGAAAAAAATGAAATGTAGGGGAATAAAAAAAAAAATGCACGCATTCTAATCTCCCTTTGAATTAAAGGTGAAGTTTAATCTGCTTAGATTTTTGCCTTCCCTGATTCTTCTACAATTCATCAACATGCTAATAAAAATTTTTTTTTTTTTTAAATAAAACCTACCAATTTTCATCACATACCTTATTCCAGATCCAGTGTCCCTTCACCGTCCAATTAGCAGGAGGAGTAGAGGAGAGGAGGTGAATAGAGAAGCACTTTTTATTTGTATGGTTACCCACCAGCGGGCGAAGTATCATTACCATGAGATTCACTGAAAGGGGTTGTATTGGGCGGTGTGGAGGATGCTTGTGGCTAGGAGTGTTGGTTGGGACATAAACCTGGGGTGTATAACCAAAATCCCGAAAGGACTCATAGCAACTAATCAGAAACTGCTCTGCCGAGTTCAGATCAGTACAAATGTAATTCTGATTGGCAGGACAGTGGCTCAGTGGTTAGCACTTCTGCTTTGCAGTACTGGGGGTCCTCGGTTTGAATACCATCCAAGACACTCTCTGCATGGAGTTTGCATGTTCTCCCTGTGCTTGCATGGCTTTCCTTTCACAAAGACATGCTGGAAGGTTTATTATTATTATTCAGGACTTGTATAGTGCCAACTGTTCGCAAAACGCTTTACTACATAAGGAAAACATTACAATACTATTCAAGACTAGATGGTAAGGAGGACTGCAGTCTACAATAGCCCTAGCATATGTGCATGTGAAATAGGGGCCGTAGATTGTAAGCGCCTCAAAAGGCAAGGACCGATGTGAATGAATAGTATGTAAAGTGCTATACAAGTACCTCAAATAAAGTAAAGGACACCGCTCTGACCTGATTTTCCCTGAGGCTCTAATGACACTTTCACAGATTCATGGCAACTAAAGCCATACTGAAGGCAGTTTGCACAAGAAGAGGCTCATGGCAACCAAAGCAATACAGAAGGCAGTTTTCACAAGAAGAGGAGGCTCGTACCGCCCAATGAGATATTTGTGAATACAAAAGGTCAATATTACAGTACAGAGTAAAGATTAAGCAAAACCAAGGAGCACTTTCCACATACCACGTGTATGAGCTGGTCTCTTTCTCCGGTGATATTCTCTGCAAGAGTGATAAGATTGGCCAGATACTGGTGAGCCGTCACCTCCTTCTCCATGGAGTCCTCCAACTGCTGCCTCAGCTGGCCGACCCTCCTCTTCATCTTCCTGAATGGACACATACAGCGTGATGCCATCTTTTTGTGTGTTTTTTTTAGTGAAGAATACAGAATGATCAACAGTTCTCATCAATATTTATTGTATTTAGCATCCTACATAGAAGTAAAGAATTAAAGGTCTGGAACTCACTGCCATCGGCAGTGATTTCAGCCAAGAGTGTAGATTTGTTCAAGAAACGTTTGGACAATTTCTTGAGGGTCCGTAATATCCAGGGATACCAGTATCCACAAGAATGAGATGATGCGTGGACCTATATGGGTTGGACTTGATGGACGTATGTCTTTATTCAACCCCAAATACTATGTAACTATGTAAAGTGGAGTATTCCTTTAACAACCCATTAGGTTGTAGGAGGCTGAAGAACGATCACTCCAATCCTTGTGTCACTTGCATGTGGTGTAGCGACAGGAAGTATACTGTACTCACACTTCCTGACTGGCAGGAGGCTATGCAGGTGGCAGTAATAAACCTGACATTATATGTGGAAATGTCATGGTTATAGCTTTTAACTGTTCTCTCTCTCACAATGCAAGTTTATGCGTTGACTCATTAAAAACAATTCTTTCGCTGTGTGGCTGGCATGTTATGTCATCAGAGAAGGTCAAATGAGTCATATACAGAACTCCCTCTAGTGGATAATCTAAATATCTCTATATCTAACACAATCACAAAAATATGGAAAAACAAGGATTTAGAAAGGAGTCTCACCACACACTGATGATGCTTTCTCTTTCAAGAATAAACCATAGTGACATATCATTCGAGAGGATAAAGACACAGGGGGGATTTATCAAAACTGGAGCAGACAAAATGTGGAGCAGCTGTGCATTGCAGCCAATCAGCTTCTCTCTCTCATTTTCAAGCAAACTGAAGAGAGAAGCTAATTGGTTGCCATGGGCAACTGCACCAGATTCTGTTTGCTCCAGTTTTGACAAATCACTCTGGAACCCTAAAGATGCTATACAAATTAGTTTTGTATTATTGCTACCAAAACCCAGGCTAGTGGTAGTGTGAATACAGAGAATCTGAATACTGGGGCTCCCACGATCACCTTGGGTTGTGATAGGGATGAGTGAATCAACAACTGAAGCCCCACACCGGGATCCAAGTCGCTCTTCAATTTGTTCAGATAAGCTTTAAAAATAAAAGAGAGAAGCTAATTGGTTGTCATGCACAGCAGCTCCAGTTTTCATAAATTCCCCTCAACCTATTTGAGCCCCACTTGAACCAGCTAGCTGATGGATGCTGTGCAAACTCACAACTCTGCTTTGTTTAAAGTTTCCTAAGCCCTGATGAAGGGGGAAGAGTTACAGCCCTTGAAACGCATTGGCTTTATAAAACAGTCTGTCATTGGAATACACATGTATTTGGACCTGAATATCATGGTGAGGAGATCCAATCCTAGATTAATTTTTGGGAAAGCAAGCATGGGACACTGCTGGGGTCTGGCAGCCAACACTAAGGAAGAGAAATGGGAGAATAGCAAAGTAGAAGATGTATGGTGCACCAGCAGTATATCAGCAGAAGTTTGGGTCGATCCTGTGGGAGCCATTAACAGCATTTAGCCCTTTTAGTGTATCCAGATCAATAGATCAGACCGGTCCTCCTGACCCATAGCACAGATGGCTCTATAATTACAAGCAATGTTCATGATCTCTGGCTCTGATGATAATTATCTTGACAATTTCGAAGTGCTTGGATGTTAGAATATTGCGACCGTAGGAGCGAGGCAAGTATGCAACTGTGGAGGGGGAGGGTGGGTTGGGTTAGGTCAGGGGAAGGAGATAAAAAGTATAAATGGACTTTGTCTATAAAGTGAACTTATCCTTTAATTATCCCATCCCCCCTCAATAACAAGTGCATTGTTTTCAATCAGCCGTCCAATTCATAGACTTGCATTGTGAAGCACTGCTCAGCAGGGTGCACATGCTGAATATGTAATGCACAAATATGGCTGTGTG